TGATCAAAACCGAAAGTTTCTGTGATGAATGCCCTTGTACTGTTCACCATGTAAGAACTTATTCACTATGTAAGAATTCGTTCACCATGTAAGAACTTGTTCGTTATGCTTCAGAAGAGTGGAGACTGACGAGAATTAGGCTTGAGATGGATTAATGATTGTGCATTGAGCATTGACCCCCCTATACAGAATTTTATTGTTGTTAACAACCATTTGATCAATAAATGAGATGCCCTCTCAAAAAAAAAAACAAACCCACATGATCATCTCCACAGATGCTGAAAAAATTCAACATCCATTCATGATAAAAACCCTCAACAAAATGGGCATAGAGGGCAAGTATCTCAACATAATAAAGGCCATATGTGAACAAACCCACAGCTAACATCATACTGAACAGTGAGAGCCTGAAAGCTTTTCCTCTGATATTGGGAAAAAACAGGGATGCCCACTCTCCCCACTGTTATTCAACATAGTACTGGAAGTCCTAGCCACCACAATCAGACAAAACAAAGAAATACAAGGAATCCAGATTGGTGAAGAAGAAGTGAAACTGTCACTATTTGCAGATGACACGATATTGTATATAAAAAACCCTAAAGACTCCACTCCAAAACTACTAGAACTAATATTGGAATCCAGCAAAGTTGCAGGATACAAAATCAACACACAGAAATCTGTGACTTTCCTATACACTAACAATGAACTAATAGAAAGAGAAATCAGGAAAACAATTCCATGCACAATAACATCAAAAAGAATAAAATTCCTAGGAATAAATCTAACCAAAGAAGTGAAAGACCTATACCTTGAAAACTACAAGACACTCTTAAGAGAAATTAAAGCGGACACTAACAGATGGAAACTCATCCCATGCTCCTGGCTAGGAAGAATTAATACCGTCAAAATGGCCATCCTGCCTAAAGCAATATACAGATTCAATGCAATCCATATCAAATTACCAACAGCATTCTTCAATGAACTGGAATAAATAGTTCAAAAATTCATATGGAACCACCAAAGACCCCGAATAGCCAAAACAATCCTGAGAAGGAAGAATAAAGTGGGGGGGGATCTCACTCCCCAACTTCAAGCTGTACTACAAAGCCACAGTAATCAAGACAATTTAGTACTGGTACAAGAACAGAGCCACAGACCAGTGGAACAGAAGAGAGACTCCAAACATTAACCCAAACATATATGGCCATTAATATATGATAAAGTAGCCATGGACATACAATGGCGAAATGACAGTCTCTTCAACAGATGATGCTGGCAAAACTGGACAGCTACATGTAAGAGAATGAAACTGCATCACTGTCTAACACCATACACAAAAGTAAATTCGAAATGGAACAAAGACCGGAATGTAAGTCATGAAACCATAAAACTCTTAGAAAAAAACATGGGCAAAAATCTCATTGACATAAACATGAGTGACTTCTTCATGAACATATCTCCCCGGGCAAGGGAAACAAAAGCAAAAATGAACAAGTGGGACTATATCAAGCTAAAAAGCTTCTGTACAGCAAAGGACACCATCAATAAAACAAAAAGGCATCCTACAGTATGGGAGAACATATTCATAAATGACAGATCTGATAAAGGGTTGACATCCAAAATATATAAAGAGCTCATGTACCTCAACAAACAAAAAGCAAATATATCCAATTAAAAAATGGGCAGAGGAGCTGAATAGACAGTTCTCTAAAGAAGAAATTCAGATGGCCAACAGACACATGAAAAGATGCTCCACATCGCTCAGAGAAATGCAAATTAAAACCACAATGAGAT